GCTTAACTTTTTTCCAGGTGTATAGTTATTTAATTAAATTTTGAATGTAAATCTGTGAAAGGTTATGATCCTACCCGATGTTACAGGGTTAAGCTATTCCTTGAACTTGTATATTAGTGTAATTATGTCTTGTGATGTGACAAACATCATACGACAACCAATCAAAGTTAAAGATCTTATGATTCTTGATGTATTTCATAGAGTTATTGGAAACTTATTTCAACAATTAATTTTACTCAGATATTTTATCCTAATGTATTTTCCATACTTATGTTCATATGTATAATGTTGGATGAAATTTATATCAGTTACAAATCAGTAGCTATGGTGTCTTCTGCTAATGCTCCAATGTTCTTTTCTTACTACTATTAGTTTTTATGGATGATACTTAATATTTTTATTTATAATTTCTGTCCAGTTTCTATATAAAATTATGCAGAAAAATACAGAAAGCACAAAATGTTACACTTATTGTAGAAAAATCTGAGTATTAATATTAAGGTACAAGAGTTATGATAGCATCCTCTAAGTAGTTATTTTGAGATACTGAAGTTAATGTAATAACTTTTACATGATGCATAAGTAGAAAAATGTTCTTTTTCAAAGTTGCTTATTTATATTAGAAAATAATAAGAGGAACCAAAATTTTGCTGTTTAATACTACCCACTTCTTTTCTTTAGGCTTCTTTTTGTAATATTTTAAATGAAATCATGAATTATTGTCATGGTTAATAAGCTATACAATCACCTAAGTCTAATTACTAATTATTTTCAATTTTTTATAGTCACCAAATTAGTTTTACTAAACACTTCAGTTGTTTCTCTGCAATGGAGTCTTGAGAAGGGCTGTATATTGTGGCAGGAGCTGAGGCTCAGACCTGGTTCTTGTTAAAATGACGGGTGCGAAATCCATTCAAATTGTAGGGTAAAAATAAGTTTATAATTAATAAAAAATAGCTAATTAGTAATTAGAATAAGATGATTGTATAGTTTACTAACTATGGCAAAATTGGTACTCAATTGTCACAGCTATGCTATAAGTACTTGAGTACCATGAATTTATTCTGAGAAATATTGTACCACAGAATCTATGGGCTGACTGATTGTTGCCCAAATGCCATAGCTATATATTACTTGATGTTAAGACAAAAAAACAACAAAATAACACAAAATAAAAGTTTCAGTAACCTCTATTCTAATCATTAGAGTTTTTGGATATCTTTGTCAGACATTTATCTCAGAAAAACTTAAGAAATAGATAGAGTAAACAATTTCTTTCTTCTGGTAAGATTATGAAAATGTGCTTTAACTTTTAGTGGCTGTGTATCTTATGTGAATTTTACTATTGAACTGGTCTGTAGACTTTATATTTAATAATTCATTTAATAATTTTTAGGCACAAGAACAGACTCAGTTGAGAGACCAAATAAAACAGAGAGAACAAGATGAAAATTACAAAGAATTGTACAATTCTTCCTATGGAGACTTCTTGACAGAAAATCCTCAAACAGCTAGGAGCTCTTTTGGTCCACACCGTGTCATTCCTGATCGCTGGAAAGGCATGAGTCCAGAGCAGAAAGAAGAGATTCGGAAAGGTCAGTTGGAGCAAATAGAAGAAAAAATGGTAAGGCATCATAGGATTTAATGATCAGCAAATTTACTTATTTGTAATTTTATTTATCTTAATGGTTGGAATGTACAGTAAGCGATAAATCCAAAAGTTGGTGACAAACCTCATTTACTTAATAATAGAAAAGAGGAAGACCTATCGAAAGCATTTAGCTCGTAACAGAATATGTTTCAAACAAAATTTGTTAAGCAAGAAAGAGAAACTTTGTTGTGTTCTACTGTGAAATTTCTTTAAATAAAAATTCACAGTAATTTTATTCAATGTATCTCATGAAAAAGTTAGAAAAATTAAACTATTAACGAAAAAATTTTAAAAATGTTAACATTTAGTTCAGAAAATGTAGAGAATTGGTACCTCTGAAGTATCAATACATTAATGAAATTTTTATGAAATATGTAAATTACAAAAAATGCACTCTATGTGTGCTATTTGAAAAGCATAGAACCATCTATACAATATACTTATGAACTTGAGAAAAAGAATTTACAAGGTAATCTAGAAACATCTATTTATTGGAAACCCTTTTCTGTTCTTATGCCTCCACACCATGAATCATGTCATATTAGATCACAAAAAATATCAGCGTTTACACTTGTGTTCACAGAATTTTGAAGATAAGTACTAAACAAGAAGTATTAAAAAATTAATTATTACTAATGAAATTAGTAATAGCTGAAAGAGGATTTAAGCTGTCAAGAAATTCACTAATGTGGTAATGACTGATCAGAGTATTATTTTAAAACCCAGTTATGAAACAATTAAACAGGAAGCTTTAATTTTGCTATATATTCCAGGTTTAACTAATAATTTATTTAAAATGTTTAGAAAACAACAAATATTTTATCCTATATTGAAACTGGTCAATAAGATAATGCAAGTTTCAGGTAATACTAAAGATAACATACAGTTAATGGAAAAACAAGAATCTATAAAATTTAATGTGAATGTGGAAATATTTATATTGGACAGAATAAACGTAATTTTAAATATTGTTTAATGGAGCATGAAGGATATGTAAGAAATAAAAAACTTGAAAATTCAGCCATAGCATAACATGTACATGAAACACAACATACGGTATTATTGGAAAAACTGTAATATTGGCTCAACCAGAAGGTGTTATAGCCAATAATATTCATGAATCCTTGGAAATAGTTAAATATAAAAAAAACATGTATTATTACACAGAGATGAAAGTTCAGCAAATGGGAATTGTAAACCTGTAAATAGGCCATATGACCTATTTAATAAAAAAAAGTATACATAAGACACGATTATGTCTTGCAACTCACTCCAGAAGATGGTGTTGCAATGTCAAAACATGTAGAGTCAACTTTTTAGTGATCATATATTGACCTTAATTAAAATGTGTACCTATTTAACGTTGTATGTTATTTATTATTTTGGCTTTTGGTTATTGTATACTGTCCCAAATGAGAAATGGCTTAGCATACCTGGTGATTAAGGCATTCTTTGAGTAGCCAATTTGAACCCTTTCATCGTACATGCTCACCATTTTCATCCATTTGGGCATTATAACGTGACAGTCACTCCCATTTTTCGTTGGTAAAGAGTAGCCCAAGAATTGGCAGTTGGTGGTGTTGACTAGATACCTTCCCTCTAGCCTAGCACTAGTGAGGGTAGATGTAGAATAAGTTTGGACAAAACTCAATAAACAAACCAAATGAGAAGTTTTACGTATAAAATACAAAAACTTGCCACTGTTTGTGTAACAACTGGGAGGAATACTTCCTAGTCAATATTATGATTTGCTACTAGCTAATGGGAAAGGCCCATAAATATTCTACCAAAATTTTTATGAGAATTTTATAGTGACTGGCAGATATTTATAATAAGGTTTGTAGATTTTTAAAACTAAACATATTAATAGCTTTTCATAAGAATAGTTAATAAATTGTATTTATGCTATTACTGGCAGATTTTTCTGATAAGGTTTGTAGATTTTGCAAACTAAACATACCAGTAGTTTTTCATAAGAATAGTTAAAAAATTGTATTTATGGTATTAGCTGTTAGTTATGGAAATAACAGAGGAATGTTCTTATGAAATTTTTTTTAATGATTACTAATATTTTAATTGATTAATAGATAGTAGTGTTAGCTACAGAAATAGGAAAGTTAGATAATATTTTTTATAATGTTTAATAATGTTTTTTATTTTTATTTTCTTTTATAGAGGCAAAAAAATATAGAAGCTAATCTCGAAGAAGATTGGCAACAGATATGGTTAGCACAGGGCAAACATCAACAATTATATGATTATATAGCTCTTCGACAAAAACGAAAAGAATTGGAGAGCTTGCAGGAAGAAAATAAACGTCTTGCAGAAGAACAGAAAGTCAGAGAAAAATATCAAAATCAGGTTGTTTACAAGAACACAATAACAGATGACTATTTTTTACAGTTTAATACAACATCACGTTGAAGCTACTCAGGATAAAAAAATAGCTTGAAAGTATGTTCAATATTTTGTAATAAGTAAATATGTTTTTTTTTTATTGTTATAGTAGGCAGCTAATCAATGCAAGACAATAAACTTTTAGAAAGTAGTCAACAGGTGTCACCACTGTGACTAAGTGAGTACAGGACTGGAAGAAATGAAACACACAGACATAAAATATTATAAACTTCTCACACTGGTTATATTTATTCTTTATGTTTACTGCATTATCTCTTCTGACTTAGAATTTTCGTGGAAAGGACAAAACTGAGCAGAAAATTATTTATAGCAAAGGGTGTATTTACATTGAAAAATTTGCTTCATCCTTCTTCCTGTAAAAAGATTAAAAGGATAGGGTTAAGCTAAACAAAATTTATTGAAATAGAATAAAGGTAGAAAATATATAATGTTGATTAAGTTATTGGAGCATCACAAATATTGGAAATAATAAAGGATAAGATTAAATTAGACCAAATTTAGTGAAATATAAAGCTTAGAAACATAGGATTGGGTTAAACTAGGTAACAATTAGTGGAATGTGTAAAATCTGTGACATTCATTAGTAACAAAATAAGATAATAGCTTATAAAAGATGTAAGAAAAGTAATAACTCTCAGTCCAATCAAGTTTTATCATACTGTTATACACTTCTATTTCAAAAAATTGTATCTGTTTATTAAATATTTAACGTTTAATAAAAATTATAATACACATTGTTAATAAGTTTGTAGTGAGTCTTTACTTCTATATTCAGAGTGTTTATTGATAAAATTTAGTTATACTTTTTCATTTGGGAAACTTCATTATAGTGGTAAAATTATTACATTTTTATGCAAATTGATAAACCAGACAGGTATATAGAAAACGGTTTTGTAAATGTTCATCAATATATGAATGAATACATTGTTTCTTCTATTCATCTTGAGATAACCTTTGCTGCTTTATTGGTGGATTAAAGTGTTAATTAAGCCAGACAGGCATGAGAATGGAAAACAACAAAAAAAACTGTAATTAAATCACATAATAATCCTGTCATTGTACTTTAGCAGAATTAAGAAAGTTGTTTTTATTCTTAAAATTTTAAAAAGGAATATTAACTGGCAATTAAAAAACAGAAAGGAAATAAATTTCTTATGAAAATGAGTAATTACCACTCTTAACAGTAGATAGCACAAAATTGTAATTGTAGTGAAAAGTAAATCAAAAGAAAGACATATTTATTGGTTGAATGCATTATCAGTTTAACTCCCTAAGTAAGTGCTGTAATTTTTTTTCAAGATTGTTTTTTTAGCTAATAATCCAATTGTATTTATCTCGGCATGTTACAGTTATGTTTGGATTGGGTAAAAGCTCACTTTAAGGTAGAAAATTATTATTTAAAAAGGGAGAAAAAATGAAAGTGCAGATATGCTTTCTTTCACCATTCAAAGAGTAAAAAATTAAGCACTTCCTTAAGGAGTTAAAACAGAAATGTTTCGAATAACAATGTTAAATGCCTTGAGAAAAGTTACTTAATAGTAATAGACCTTTGTAAAAGAGGTGGAATGGCTGCAGCATAAGAGATGAACTGTAGTTTGTGTGTTTATTGAAGTTGAATGGCTGCAATATAAGAGATGAACTGTAGTTTGTGTGTACAGAAGTGGAATGGCTGCAGTATAAGAGATGAACTGTAGTTTGTGTATGTACAGAAGTGGAATGGCTGCAATATAAGAGATGAACTGTAGTTTGTGTATGTACAGAAGTGGAATGGCTGCAATATAAGAGATGAAATGTAGTTTGTGTGTGTACTGAAGTGGAATGGCTGCAGTACAAGAGATGAACTGTAGTTTGTGTGTGTACTGAAGTGGAATGGCTGCAGTATAAGAGATGAACTGTAGTTTGTGTGTGTACAGAAGTGGAATGGCTGCAGTATAAGAGATGAACTGTAGTTTGTGTGTGTACAAAAGTGGAATGGCTGCAGTACAAGAGATGAACTGTAGTTTGTGTGTGTACAGAAGTGGAATGGCCGCAGTACAAGAGATGAACTGTAGTTTGTGTGTGTACAGAAGTGGAATGGCTGCAGTACAAGAGATGAAATGTAGTTTGTGTGTGTACTGAAATGGAATGGCTGCAATATAAGAGATGAAATGTTGTTTGTGTGTGTACTGAAGTGGAATGGCTGCAGTACAAGAGATGAACTGTAGTTTGTGTATGTACAGAAGTGGAATGGCTGCAGTATAAGAGATGAAATGTAGTTTGTGTGTGTACAGAAGTGGAATGGCTGCAATATAAGAGATGAAATGTAGTTTGTGTATGTACTGAAGTGGAATGGCTGCAATATAAGAGATGAACTGTAGTTTGTGTGTGTACAGAAGTGGAATGGCTGCAGTATAAGAGATGAACTGTAGTTTGTGTGTGTACTGAGGTGGAATGGCTGCAATATAAGAGATGAGCTGTAGTTTGTGTGTGTACAGAATTGGAATGGCTGCAATATAAGAGATGAAATGTAGTTTGTGTATGTACTGAAGTGGAATGGCTGCAATATAAGAGATGAGCTGTAGTTTGTGTGTGTACAGAAGTGGAATGGCTGCAGTATAAGAGATGAACTGTAGTTTGTGTGTGTACTGAAGTGGAACGGCTGCAATATAAGAGATGAACTGTAGTTTGTGTGTGTACTGAAGAGCAAAAAAAGGTAATCTATAGGTTCATTCAGCCTGTGTGGGTGACACTCAGGGATATCAAGGGTAGAAAGTTGTTAATTGGCAATTTTTATAGGCCACCTGATTAGACAGGTGAAGTTAATTAGAAATTTTATAATGAGATCAGGTTGTTATTTTATTTATATTTTAAATTAAAAATAGGCATACACCTACAAATATAAAGGATAACATGAAAGACAAAACCCCATTATGCATATAAAAATGAAGCAGAAAATCAGGAATGTATACCATAGTTTTAAATTGGCAGATGGAATGAAAGACTTATATACTGTTGCGTCAGCGAGGTCACGTGACTAGTGTCGCGCCACTTCTTTCGAACCTTCGGGAATAGTCGGGAGATTACTAGATATAGGGTAGCTGGTATATATATAAGAGAGTGACAACGTGACGCAATAGTGTGTGTGTGTGTGTGTAGGAAGTGAGTAATTGAACTGCAGTCCGAAGTATTGTTGACGTTCATTGATATAGCGTTTGTTATAGAGCGAGTGTTGAAAATAAGTGTATCGTAAAGTTGTATTCGGAAAGAATAAACCAGTTTTATTAAGTAAGGACTTGTGTCGCTAAAGTTTCGTCGGAACGAAGTTACGGAAAATCAATTAACAAACGGAGACGTAACAATATAAAAATAAAAGCTAGAGATTTAGTTAAAAAAGAAATTAGAAATGGCTGGCTGTTAAAGCATTTTTTTAAGTGTGATAAAGATAAGAATAATTTTACGAATGGAGTAGAGCCCTTAAAGAATGGTGATGACAAGGTTTTCTTAAAAACTACAGATAACTGATATTTTAAATATTTTTTATCTCCTGTTTTTACAAGAGAGTATGTTAGCAATATTCCTGACCCTGTCGTTCTAATCTGCGAAGAATGTTACTTGTATTTATAATAATACATTATTTTAGGCCTATAATATTTTAACGCTACATTCCTTATCCCTTAGGGATTTTCAAGAATTAAAATAATATATAATACTAGTATTTCAACCACTCTATATTCGTCATATTCATTGCAGACTACGCGTTTTGCTCAATCCAGTGCTCTACAGGCCGGCTTGCATTCAACGAACACAGTAGTGGTCGGAACAATAATTATATATGCTATTTGTTACAACAATACTTGTTATGGCCTGAAAAACTCTAGATTGAGCAAATCGCGTCATTGGCAATGGATATCATATTGTTGCGTTAGCAAGGTCACGTGACTAGTGTCACGCCACCTATTTTCTAGAAATATCCTGTTCCTTGGTGAATGCCCTAGCATCTACTAGATATATGTTTGTCTGGTATGTATATAAGACAGTGTATATATGTATATAAGACAGTGTGTAGGTAGTGAGTAATTGAACTGCAGTCAGAAAGTATTGTTGAAGTTCGTTGTTATAGCGTTTGTTATAGAGCGACTGTTGGTAAAGTTATATTCGGAAAGAATAAACCAGTTTTATTAAGAGAGGACTTGTGTCGCTAAATTTTCGTGGGAACGAAGTTACGGAAAATCAACTAACGAACGGAGACGTAACAATATATACATATGACGAATGTAGTGTGGTTGAAATACTATTATTGTACACTCTTCTAATTCTTGAAAATCCGTAAGGGACTAAATTCGGAATGTAGTGTTTAAAAATGTAATATGGGCTAGGTGGTTAGGGCGTTCAACTCGTAATCTACGGGTCGCGGGTTCGAATCCCTGTCCCACCAAACATGCTCGCCCTTTCAGCTGTGGGGGTGTTATAATGTGACGGTCAAGCCCACTATTCGTTGGTAAAAGAGTAGCCCTAGAGTTGGTGGGTGGCGATAACTAGCTGCCTTCCCTCTAGTCTTACATTGCTAAATTAGGGAAGGCTAACGCAGATAGCCCTCGTGTAGCTTTGTGCGAAATTCAAAACAAACAAAAATTAGATTGAAGATATAACCAACACCATTAAACCAGATATATTTGTTATTAGTGAAACTTGTTTATGTGTTATCCATAGATTTAGAATAAAAGGTTACACAACTATAAGAAAAGACAGAGTAAACAAATATGACCTCAACAGAGGTATACTCCTGTTATACAAGACAGAATTGATTGTATCGGAAGTGGAAATAACTTCCACAAATGCATGTATAATTATAGATGTACTTACTGCAAATGACATCAATGTAACGGTAGCAGGTATCTACTGCTAAAAACCTAGATACCAAGTTACTGTGTGATATTAATAACTATAGTCAAAATACGATTATAACAGGAGACCTAAACAGTAAACATAGAATATTTACTTGTAAAGCAACAAACGCAAATGGCAGAATATTACATAAATATCTACTAGATACTAACACAGTTTTATTAAATGATGCTACCCCGACACATATACATGTATATCAGACGCATATGGCACCAGCGATATCCTGGATCTATGCCTATGTTCGTTTAATATGTTCGTAAATTTTCAAGTAGGACAACACATAGATAGTGACCATCAACCTGTCTGGTGTACCTTCAATTTCACCCCCCCCCCCATACAAATAAATCAATAGAAACCGAAACATTTAACTATAAGAAAGCAAATTGGGAACAATATCAAAAATCATTGACAATATGCTACCGAAAGTAAAAGTATATCACGCCGCGGAAGCATCAGATATAGATACATATTGCCATAAATTCACTGAGTGCCCCAAAACGGCAGCAAAACAAACAATACCCAAACTCAAACAACCAACAACAACACAAACATGGCAATCTCACACATAAATTATAGAAATGATAAAAGAAAGAAGGAAACTACGCAGACAATTCATACAAACCCGAGATACAACACTCAAAACACAAATAAACACATTAAGAAGCAAAATAAGAAATGAAGTCCGTCAACTAAAACAAGACAGCTGGGATAATTTCTGCTCACAATTAAACGATAAAACCGACTCAAAACAGTTCTGGAACTACCTAAAACGATTCACCAATACAAAATAAGACAGCATACGCAAACGCTGAAAAGACAAAGTATTTAACGAACAC